TTGACACTATGATCATCTGATTTTTTTAACAGCCTTGCTCTGCCTCTGTAGTAGATGCTCAGTATCTCAGAATAACTGTGAGCTTAAATTTAATATAAATACCTTATCTCTGTACCGACACAGAAAACTCAGCCTCTTAATTTCCTACATGGCCATTTCAAAAATGCTTTTCAGAGTCTACCTTGTTCTTGACTAACTTTCCAGACTCGTACTTTCTTTGAACAGTCCCACAAGCCCTCCTCACTCCTGCTCCAACAAGAACAATTTCTTAGGCTCAATACAAAGTTCCCCAAGCTTACTTTAACGCGGAATGAACAAAGTACTTCTTTCCAGATAAAAGCAGGATGGCCCACAGTACTTTAACTTTTCTGAATTTTTACACTGAACAATGTATGCTGGAGTCCATAATATTCACAAAGTATGTGAGGCAGAGGCAATGGATCCTTGCAGCTGCTTTTGCCACAGAAGTGATGCTTTAAATCTTTTTATACATTTACTGTACATTTCTATGGAAGGACGGTTCTCATTCTTATTCAGCCTATATTTCCTCCACCAAGACTAGGACACTGAAGTGGCGTTCGCAGGTGGTCTATCCACCTTCACCATGGACAATACGGGAGGGGGTATTAGTCTTCACAGTTGGAAAGTCATGTGTATTTCCACTCCTAAAATAGCGCAGCGCACAAAAACCGCAGGGCATTTATAACGAAGGAAATCGCTTGGGGAATACATGGAACAATGTTTTTGCGTTAATCAAAAACACTATAGAGCAAACTAAGCAGTATTATTCTGGTATCTGTGTCACTGTACTCCCCATCATTTGTGTACTCCACCTCACTGCTGGAAATAGACCTTTCTTCTGTTTCACAGCTGATTTTGGTTCGCCATTAATTTTCCACGGTGTTACTAAAGCTCATTTTGTTGCTTTTGGAGCACAGGTATCTTTACCCTGCATAGCCAAAGACATTTGAATGATAGCTATTATTACAATTTTTCCTTTTTTTATAACGTATAATATTAACCTTTTTCAGAAAGGGGAATTGAAACAAATGGAGCAAGAATGCATTCCATCTACTAACTCCATATGAATTCACAGAGCTGTTTGTTATGCCGAGATACAGTAAGGGCAGAGAACACCTCAACAGGAGGTCAATACCGGTGCTCTGATTCACAGATTGTACCACCCCACATTTCCCACAGCAGGCAACCTAGTAAACGTTACGGTTTCCATCCATTAACAATACTCTTGAAGCACCCAGCACTCATCTGGAGATTAGAAAGGAAAGTGGAGTTTCACTCCTCCTCCTTTCTCTTCATTTTTCTCTTTCCTCATCACCTCTGTCATGGGAATGAGGCAAGGAAAACGCTACAACAAAAGCCAGATTCAACGACTCTCTACTAGTTTGGAAGCGTTTTCCACTGGCGGGACACAGAACGGTTATTGCTGCGACATTACACTGCAAAAGAAACTATATCATAAAACCAATTGTCAACAATCCAGAAAGTTAAAAGACCTCATAGTTCCGGATTAATGACCAGCCTTCTGGTTATGCTTGGTTTTAGCTGTTAGTGTCATTGAGCTTGCACGCACAGAGCCCTGAATCCATTTGTAATGGTCAGTGCTTGCAGCACCAGTATCAGTGTTATGACAGGTACACGACAGGTAAAATGGCTTTGGTCTGAAATATTAGTGCCAATTCAAATGGTAAATTCTGTATTTTATGTCCTTGTATGTTGTAAATACTAACTCAGTGAAGGCAAAACGCACCTCAGACTGTTACTGTTTTTCATCGCTTTAAAGGAACTTTTTCTGTGATTTAAATGCAAGAATTTCCCATTACTTCCCACCCTTCCAAATTACTGAACTATCCAGAACACGAACCTTTTTGCACTGATTCAGGCACTTCTATGCACTCATTTGCACTGATTTTTTAAACCTGATTTATGCGTCTTTATATCACATTCTCTATAAAGACCAAATTACCTCACTAGGAAATCAATTTTTAAAATGAACCTTCTCAAGAAACTTGGCAATTTGCTTTCCTAATCACCCTTTCTACACTACATTCTTGTGTTAAATATAATCTCTAACAAGCACTCCGGTAATATGGTTACCAGTTATGAAACCAAATATACAACCTACCTATTTGCACCTTTTTTTTTTTTTTAAGCAGGAAGCACCCCAATCCCAAGGATGATTGTCCCCAGGTGATACAGCTATCATACACTGTATGATGTGCTCTTCAATGGATTTAAAATAAGTTTGACATTTTTAGGAAGCAATTTTTAGCCTGGATGAGACTATCTTTGAAATAAGGTATTTACCAGACAAATCATAGTTTCTTTCCTGAATATGAAACTGCTGCTCATCAGACATAACAAGATGCATAAATGCTGCTCATGTGAAGTTCCCATTTTTACATAAGAAAACATGTTTAAGTAATCACACGCACTTATAGTCACCTAAAAAATACTAGTCCGCTATATCAAAATGCTTACGCAAGTCTAATTTAAAAAAAAGAAAAAGAAATCTATACATCTGTAGTTAGAACTTGTTGGTAAGAGGAAGAAAAAGCCAAGAAAAAAATACATTAGAATGGATGACATGAAAAAAAAAGCCTTCTGTAATACAGCTCAAGTGCAGAGGGTATAATTCTGGACTGACTATGATTCTCTGACAACCTATTTCACAGTAGCAGATTTCAGTGGTTTTATAATCACAGATAATGCACAGATTTATAATAATGAGGTGTCAATGTGTGGAAGAACAGGACTGCAGACCATTATTTTCTCAGATTTTTCATAGCATATGCCAAGTACAGAGAAATGTGAGCAAAGTCTATTAAAGAGGCCATATAACTTATTCAGGCACTTTTGGATACAGAGGACTAAATGCAGGTTCTCAAAAGGCTGGAGCAGGGAAATACCGATACATTTTGCAAATAGGAACATTAAACACAAAATCTATATGATCACGGAAAAAAGAAGGAAGAGTATTCTGTGTTTCAGCCAAATATCAAAAATCTAATTCCAATCTCTACACCCTATTCCCATTTCCTTTGTTGCATTACAGCGATACCTGTAAAACCGAGGAGACCTCAAATGCTTCAAAGGCTCTAACCCTACAGCAATCTTACACACCGGCACAGCGGCCGGGGGGGCCTTACCCTTCCGTACAGCTGTGCCTTCCCCACAGAGGCACAAGCACTTCCAACCTGAAGAGAAGGACAATAAGAAGACGACGGACAATTCTACAGCCACATTAATTAGGAAAAATGTGCTCCTGCGATCCCAGCGTGAAGCTCAGTCCGCATGACCTACAAAAGAAGAGTCCGCTCTCCTGCGGAACACTGAACCAGTGATCTTAACCTAAATGGGCACTAATATCCCCATGTGCTGCTATTAATTAATACAGTGTTTTGTTTCCAGAGGTAATAATTTGGGGGAATGAAGGTTTCTTCCTGTAAAACAGTCATTAAGGAACCAACAATTATTATTGTAAGAGTAGTAATGTGAGATCCAGTTTTATAATTACATTCTGCGTTCTGAAATTATATTTCAATTTTAATGACATACAGAAAGATCAGCAATTTCTGGCTTCAGCCTCTGTACTAATAGTGAATATCAACAGCTGCCGTATAAAAATTACAAATTGGCTACGAGTTAGCAATTCCTATTTATATTTCAGGAAAGGGTTTTGTAATTTAAGGAGGACTTTAAAGTGTCCTTCTATCATTCTTCTGTAAAACTTCCCTTTTAACTGAAATCACAGATTTCTTCTAGATCTGTTAAAGGAGAAGCCGCTGCCCGAGCGTTCACGCAGGAATCCAGGAGTCACGCACACACCACCCGAGATCTGACGGCTCGGATCGGAGTCCCTGCGTAGCGGGCGACTCGTGAGCCGGCGGGTGCCCCTTTCGACTCCACACACACGCTCTCGCTCTCGGGTGCTTTCTCTTCCCGCAGGCTCGACCCTAGGCTTCCCGAAGCAGAACCTCCAACGTGACGTACGCCAGACGAATTCATTAGACAGTACGGGGTGCAGAACAGCTGGAGCTGGGTGCCTCCGGAGTGGGACCGGGGTCTCCTTGCTCCTCACTGGATCCCTTCACTGTCTCCAGGCAAGCCATTCTTTTTTTTTTTTTTTTTCTCTAGGAGGCAGCTTCTGCTGATGGATGTGACCATCTTATCTTTCTAATTTACACCAGTTTCGGGGTCTCCCCTCACATCACTAAGTAAGAGTTCACTATTAGTTCATCAGTATATAGGTCACAGATCACGACGTGCGGACTAAGGCTCTTTAGTAACGCTATACAATGGATTCCGTGACTCCGATAACATATTGAATCGGTTAAATACATAAGCAAAATGCAACCCTGGAGATGGAAGTTATCAGAACAGTTGTTAATCACTGTAAATCTTGACCGTATTGAAATGCTTGAATCTATTGAATCAACACACTTTCCGTCAATTTTTTTTTCTCATGCTTTCCCCTAAGCTGCCTTTCCCATCTTCCACGATTGGAATATTCCCTATGGCCTATTCCATAGATCCCTTTTGGCAAATTTCATTTGGGTCTCCCAGACTATTTTATGTTTTTGTATCAGTCTTTTTCACTAAAAAAACCACAACAGGCGAAAACCGTCTTCCTGTTTAGTGCTGTATTACCACAAACTCACTATCAGTGTCTGACAGGTAAATAAACCTATGAATTAGCATCCTTACTTATTTTAGATGCAAATTCATCTTCCTTGTAGGTTTGTTTTGCAGACATGGTCCATTTAGCAAGTGATAGACAGAATTTTGTTCCTCAGCAAAAAAAAGTAGCTGCTTCCCAACTTTAAAAAGTTTGTTGACATCAGAAACGGGCTTAGAATTATCCTCAAAATTCACCCTAATCTTTCAATGAATTTAAAATCCTCCTTAGTTCCAGTTTGATGCTCTTACAGGACAAACTTTCAAAGATGTTTAAACGAGAGAGAGAGAGAGAGAAACCATACCTTGGTGCTCGTCACTTGAAATGGAACTTTTGAGCCCTTTGTAACGGGGGATGTCAGCTTCTCAGCTGGTTTTGAAGGGATTAGATTCGTAGCGGGAGGCTGACTGTGCAGAACCGAAGACAGGCAAATCTGCACAGTCTCCTTCAGAGCTTTCAGCTGTGACTCCTGGGGAAAATAAGAAATCATCAGTTCTCTGAGTTGGGTTATTATGAACAGAATTGCTTGCTTTCTCTCTCTGCATTAAACCAAACATTTGTGAGCAGCTGCTGCTTTTTCTTATTAACGGAAGAAATTAAGGCTGTTTAAAGCAGGCTTTTTTTATACCATTAGGTCACTCTGCATTACACACCAAACTGCCCAGAAAGTCATTGCACTCTTCCCTTTCCTCCATGCAGTTTTATCCACATTGATTACTGCAGATATTTATTAAATATTAATTTATCTGAAAAGAAACAAAAATACAACCTAGGGAAGTAGTGGAGTCACCATCACTGAAGGTGTTCAAAAAACGTGTGGATGTGGCACTTTGGGACATGGTTTAGTGGGCAGGGTGGTTTGATGGTTGGACTTGATGATCTTAGAGGTCTTTTCCGACCGTAATGATTCTGTGATAATTATCATAGTGTCCTTCACAGACCTTCACACACAATAGTTACAGGGAGGTAAATGTTCACAAGCATTGCAAAGACACAGACTGTGCATGGAATTTTGTTTATAACATTCAGAATATTTGGTATTTTTCCACATGTTATAAAGATTGATTTTAGTCCAACAAAGATTTCTTCCCTCATGAGCACTTTATGCTGTTGCGGTGTATAGTAAGTAAACCATAAGTCTTTTCATCTGTTAAGAATATGATAGTCCAGATCCATTACTGTCCATCAAGCCTAACTAGGACTTTCAAGTGGTGAAGTGCAACTCATGTTAGAACACCGCTATTTTACTCACAGAAATAGAGATATGTATTAATGAAAACAGCAGTCTGTCACTGAAGTAAGCTGAGACAGTAAGAACAGCAAGATAACTACAGCACTGAGGAAATCTCATTTTAAAGCTTTGCTCCATCACAGCAAGACTCTTAGAGTCAAACGTTAGACATTGAAGTAACTGCCTTATAATAATTTCAAGGGGAGTTAGGTCTTAAAAAAAAATAAATCATGCTTTTATTCTTTATACTAAGAATGCACCTATAAATACAGGCTACATCAGCACATTTCAACCTTCAAAGATGTTTTTGAAGATACAGAAGCCAAGGTATGCTATGGCAAAAGTTGATGGAAAATATATGGATAAGTAACATTACACACTACATACTACGTATGTGAGATGTTATATATCCAAAATAAAAATAATTCATAGTTATACAAATCCTAAGCAATGGCATTACACATACACCACCTTGTTTTTGTTTATTTGCTAAACAAGTATTCTTCAGAACCTGACAAATATTCCGTATTTTACATCAGATAAACTTCCCCTGAACTGGAATCAGGGAATATATCTCATAACTGGGAAAATCTGCGAGTTTCTTTAAAAATAAACTAAAACACTTAGTAGGGTACATTTCAATGGTAGGATCAAAGACAACCATCAAAAGACTACTAATGCACAGCACAATAAGGAAAATCAAAGAAATAGGAGACGGAATTGAATTTGGTTTGTTTGCAAACAGACTAAATTGAATGTCTTTCCTTTAAGATGTGTGCAGTGAGGAGGAATGCTAGACTATCATCAAAGAGGACAGCACTTTGTATGAATTACTTATTAAAATGTATGAAGCTTGAGTCAGACTGATGTGTCTCTGACCTAATGGCAGCGTAAAGGGGAAAAGATTATCCATCTGACTCGGGGATCTTTTAATTTCTAATTGACAACAGAAGATCTTAGCTTACTTCTTTTCATGTAATGTGTCTTTTCCCCTACCTTGTCAAGAAGTGACTGCACAAAGAACATAAAGCACCGCTTGACACAGTCAAAATAAGCTCAGGCATCAAACTGGCAGAGATCACAGACTGCCTAATTTTGCTTGAAGGTATGGACTCCCCCATTATAGCACTAGATGACCCTAGTGCTCTCTGCAAATCACACTGATCTGAAACCACACTCCTCCCATCCAGAAAACTCTCTGGATAATTTCTCATCCTCTCATCTCCCACCCCCACCATCCAGTGGTTGTTCTGTGTTGGCTACGGCCAGACATTTTGCCATTCCAAAGGTAAAAGCAGAATAGGTTATTTTGTTTTCATTCTGTCAACATTGAATTTTGACTTTGCTGATAGGAGATGTATAAATGGGGAGCACAAAAGTACAACTTAAGGAAACACTGTTGGAGCCAGAGGTGTCATTTGACAAACTTCTCAATGACCTTGCATAGATGTGATTGTGGTCAAAACAGGCTGCTTGCTGGTCAAAATACTGCCAACACAGGACTCATGTCTTCAGATTTCTGAGATCTGTTTATACTCTTGTCATGTGGCTGGATTCAATATAGAATAATTCGGGCTGTGGTAATGCAAAATTTATCAGTCTTCCAAGGGTCCATCACGGGAACTAGACAAGTGCTGTAGTGTAAATGGACTTAGGAGAGACACTAAGTCCACTGTCAGCACAAACTAATATTTAATAGAAAAGCCTGATACCTTCCCAAAACAAAACTACAAATTAATGCCAATGAACAGCACAGTTCGAGATTCAATCACTCAATCACTTCAAACACAGCTCACGTTCCAGGAACACACATTGCTTTATACATCGCTTCCGCTCCTTTCGCTGAAACTGTGTGCGCTAACATTACCAAAACAGCTAAAACCAAGACTTCACTGAAGACATGGATGGACCATTGGCTAACTCTAACTCTAACTCTAGTTCATAGTTCATACAGAAAAGCTCTTAACCAGGGGAAAAATGTGCCTACAACTTAAAAGGTCTTATGACTCTGCAGTTAGAACTAGTCAAACACAAGTATTTCTGGTCTCATAAGACCGCCTCACAATTCTCACTGGCATGAACTTTGTCTTTTTCCTTCATTTGCGTTGCTTTTTGTACTCCTGCTTGCCCTTTCCACTGCACTTTCACAGCTTGCAAGCAATGACGCCATCCAAAGACTCTCTTGATGATCTGCAAGAAGATCACACCAGGCTTCTGGTAAGCCTACAGAACCATAACTGAGCCCTAAATTAAAATTCTGTAATATTTAATAGGAAAGAAACAGAGGGTCAGAGAAGTCAGTTGGGTGTGCTGCAATTCCCCTTTTAATTTGCAGACAGAATCCCTTAATAGCATTCTCATTAAAAGTTCCTGATGTCAAACATTCTTTGCCTTCTCCTTCACAACTGTCTGCATTATACGGAATAACTGCATTTAGAAGGTATTTACGGCAAGCATTGCTCTCTGGCCACTGCATCAGACTATACCGGCACTAGTGGGAGGCCGTGGCTGTGGCTGTTAAACGAGCAAAGAAGAAACATGCTTAACTTTTAAATTAACATGCGGAGCAGTTCAGTTAACTAACAGGAGACACATGATACATCACCAGACGTACGCACAGGATTGAATAACGTTACTGTGAGCGCTGCTTACATGGATGACATTTTGCAATGCTGAGTGCAAATCCTCACTCAAGAAGATGATTTCAGCGATTACAATATTGAAGATGAAAGAAAAATGCTTTTAGTGCAGGGGACATACTTTTTAAAAAATGTCTAACGGAACCCGAAAACACTAGAAAACCAAACAAAAAAAATAGTTTTTAATAGAGTATTGAAGTTTTTTTTTCTGCTTCCCTATTGCATGATATTGTCTTCCCAGGCACCCTAAATCTAAAAGAAAGTTCCCCCGTTGCACAGTTGACACGAGTGAACACGTCCTGCTTTGTCCCCTTCCTGGGATTCCCCCCAGCCTGAGGCTGATGTGAGCGGGAACCTCTGTCACCTCAGTCCCATCCTAACAAAAGACTGACCCATTTCTACACCGCATCCTCCGTGGTTAAACCTCAGACAAAATTCCTATCGGTTACAGGTACGTTCTCGTCACTATATTTTTGCACGTGAAGAATTGCAGCGTTTGGCTTTCTGTGGGTTTTTGAGATGTGTGTTTCTGATTTGATTGCCCTCCTCCAAGTAGCTTTGCAGCTTCATGCATCATAATTAGTTTCACTGATTTCAGAAGCATTACTCCCAGGTACATACAATTAAGTGTGCATCTAAATCATTGCAAGACTTTCATTTGTTTTTGTCAAATTACACTGAAACATTCACAGCTGATAGAGATAAACACGCTTGCATTATGTTACACTTCTTACTTTGTCAAGGGCTGCCTTTTCCAATTCGTCTTTTGCAACTGCTAGTTTTTGCTCCAGATCTGTTAGCTGCTGTGCCTGTGGGAACAAAGAAGACAAAGCTGATGCAATCTGCAATGCATTTTTTTCCCATAATTTTTCACGCAGTGCCTGCAAGAGAGGAAAGACTATAAATTTTACAAGTAATGTATATGAATTGGGTCAGAACTTCTTGCAAAAAGACCAGGCCTCAAGGCATATTTTTTTTCCTGAGAAAAAGTGTATTTTTACGTCGGAACTGGGCTCAAATCTGGTCCATTTATGTGAATGCAAGTTTACTCTAATTTCAATGTCAGTAGCAAACGTAATTCCGTACTATAAAGTATTTAGAATTATGCCATAATATCCTTCTGGAAAAGTCAAAGTATTCAAAAAGTTTTTATTATTTTGTTCATTTATCTGACTTCTATTTGCAATCTGAAACACTACTTTGTAGTTTTAAACATTAAGATGTTAACATTAATGTAATTTGGCATAAACAGAGAAATCAGAAAACACCCAAATGTTCATGTATGTAGACACTTTATGAAATTCTACTCTCCGCGGGTATACAAGGGGTTAACTGCAGATTTGTTTCTCCATCTCCTTCCCTGGAGACACGACAGGAAAATTCACAAGAATAGCTAGTTATGCAACTACATAGTGAGAAAGAATCGGGGAGATCTGCATTTGAAGTCAGGCAATCAGCCTGCACCTTTGTGCGGAAGGACTGTTGGCTTTTTATAGGACATAACATTATTTTCTGGCCTAGTCCTTCAGGAGGAGATCTGGCTTTTTACAACGTACGTGCAATGTATTGAGTGCAGGGCTCCGAAGACGCTTTAAAATGCTCAGTAAATAAAGAGAATGATTTTCTTTCCCCTTCCCTAGGAGCTGGATACGCTCAGACTCCTCGCTTTAGCGAAATACATTCTCTACAAGAACTTTCCATTTTGGGGTAGCGGGAGCTCCCAGATTCCTGCAGTTCTCATCCCCGCCATTAATGGCACGTTACTTTGCAATCAAAAGGCATAAGGGCCAGTTTTCCTTTACTGTTGTATTCGCAAAAACAGCCCACTAGTTCTTTTCCCTGTTTACGAAGAGAACCATTGAGAAAGACACTGTTATCTTTTATCTCTGAAGTTCTGATCAGGTAACGCACAGCTTGTGTATACAGAATAATTAGATAAATTTCTTATTTCTCAGTTAAAGAGCAACACCTTTTAATTTTGACCAAATATTTGCAAGCGCCTTTTCCCTCAGCACCACCTCACGCTCACCAGCTTTCTGAAGTTCATGCCCCACCGGATACTATTTTCTTGCCAGACTTTTCAAGATCACGTGCACGCTGCTCCCGTAGCATAGCTTAATGTATAGCCACGCAACACAAATGCTGTTTAGTGTAAACCCTACAAAACGTGGTTAACGTGGTCTCTGTGTTGGGGCAATGACTGTACTTCCAGCACATCTGACAGCTGACGTGTATGAGCTCAGGTGAGCCTGTAGTCCTCAGCAGATACCTCAGGCTATGTTTATTAGCGTTAGGCATAGGCTGTACTGGCTGATAAAATGACAAAAGCCGGAATTTTCAGTTCCCTGCTCAGGTAAAGAACTACTTAGTCGCATTTTAAAACAGGATCAGGTATTTATCTGTGGATTTATCGGAGCTGCCACAGTTCCACTGGTCAAAACCAGGCACGATTAGGCAGTCTTGCTTCAAAGCTGAAGTCAACGGCTTGCTCAGACGCAGGGAAGTCTCTTCAGGATGCAGTCCCTAATTTCCACTGCAACACGCCTCTTACGCCCGATACCGGCCACTGTCACACGCACAACACGCAGATCAGAGCACTGGTTTGGTTCCTCGGTCCGGCAAGAGGGCATCCAATACAGAAAGAATCCTTCCATTCCATTAGAATTGGCAAAGTTCAACTGGCCTTATCACTGGCTTCTTAGAGAAAAAACTTACTGACATGTAAGAATTTTTCTAGAGTTCATTAATATTTGCAGTTGTTACTAAATACAGTGCACAATATGGCTCTCTGGAAACATGGTCCCAGTCAACGTTTGAAAGATTGGACATTAAGCTTGGCTCTATCTGATACAGAGACAGTTCTCATTAGATACTAGAACTAGATCAAGCAATTTCTCACATCATTAACATTTTAATTATTGCTACTTATTAACTATTTTTATAGTACAGTTATACAAATTAATACGTTTTCAATTAATGAGAACCAAGACTTGAAAAACGGTACATATAATTAAATAATCTGAATTGCCATTAAAAAGGAAATTATACAAAATAACGTTTACATGACAAATGAGAAGCCAGGCTGGCGTCTCTGCTGGCGTGTGCATTGCTCACGGATTAGAATCACACGGACAACGATGGATTAGCACAGTGTGGGCCAAGCAACAAGGCAACTTCTCCATTCGGCACCAGCATTACAGTTTAAATCAGTGGAAAACTGCGGCTAAATTATGAATTTCAGGGTCTCTGGTTTCCTTCAACACATGCATCACGTAGGCATCTGAAAACCTACGTAGGTAGTTGACAGGAAGCAGGTTAAGGGTAGTCACGGGCGGCTGCTGCTTCTTTCCTTGCAGGGGAATATCTGGTACTATATAACACATTGTACTCAATGAAACTGCAGCCACGTAAAAAGATCAAGATGGAGGAAAAGTGTTTAATTTCTTTAATTGCTGCCCTCCATTAGAAAGAATTAATTAATCTAACATATTGTCGTACCACTGCTCACATCAAGTAAAACATTTTCAGTCTATGGTGAAAAGATATTCTTCCAAAGGACAGGCTCACATTTATTCATAAAGTCTTTCTGAATGCACCGTTTATCAAACCTTATTCGTATTTTTGGTAATATTGTCATATTTTGATGGACTAATTTTTTCCGTAATTTTCATGTATATTTATTTTATTTCACAGATTACTGGCCCAACAGGCCAGTGACCTCAATCAGACTGATACAAAGTGATAATAAAATCCTGGCATTAAAAACATATTTTTTGATGAACCACTCCTTTGAAAGTAGTGGTATTTATCCCCAAATGGCAGAACAATCAAAATTTTTTTCTGAAATTCTTTTTCTATCAAGGATGAATTCATATTGCAATAGTTTCACCACTTTTTTAATTCAGAAGTTTTTTAGGGAGCCTAATTCAAGTAGTGTGGCTTGGATACTGAATAAAGAAAAAGGACAAAATACCAGTAGGACTACGCAAGCCCAATTCTGATAAAGAGTAAAGTGCCTTTAAAAAGCAGAGCCTGGAAAACCTTAAAAATATTAAGTTTTTTTTTCCTGTAGAATCAGGTCTTACAGAAGAAACAGTGAGATAAATCGTTTTTTCATCCTCTCAAAGACGGCACTGAGCAATTACTGTCAGTGAAGTACACTTTTCTAACTCAAATGAATGTACTTACCTTTACTCATTATGAGTTGCATCACACAAAATGCCCATATTTAGATTCTTCCAGGCATAAAAATAAAAAGGAAAAAGGAAAGACTAGTCCAATTTCAAGTAGACAGAGAGAAATCCAAAGTGACATAGATTTTTTTTTTTTATAATGAGTAATTGAGGCCACAGAGAATTTCTGCATATACATAAAAAAAAAAAAAGTGAAGGCGATGTCTACATGTCTTTGGGATGATGACTTTGAATGTTCAAGAACTTATGAATATCATATCAATATAATATAGGTAGTTGAGGTGTTCATATTCCTCAAAGTCACAAAAAAGCAACAAAACAGGGGGGTGAGAGAGAAGTTTTGTGACCCGAAAACCAGTGGCTAGAAGTTTTATGCTTCTCACACTTCATCAGTCACATGAGAAGGAAAAAAAACACATTCACTAGAGCTTTTTGTGTCCCTTTGGAGAATTTATAACTTCTGTTTGTTCTAAAAGATTAATCCTTTCAATGATCTTTCTCAGGACAAAGATACACACATAAATACATTGAATAAATTACTGTTGGATTATGTATTGTTGTTAACAAATAAGCTCCAAATACAGCTCCTTTAAGTGTTCTTGTTGCTATTTTACCCTGAAACTGTAGATCTAAACTTTCTTCCCAAATCTGGCTAGCCCGTAGGCTTTTCCACAGACATCTCCTCCTCCAAGTCCTCCCATTTCTTCTCAGCAATGAGACAAAACCTAAAGCTTCTCACCCATGAGGTGGGTTACTAGACTTTTCCTGAAGGTACAGGTCAGCAAAACCAGGCTGTGATCCTATTTCTGTGTCCAATTTACCAAGCCAAACAGCACAATGACTCTTCGGAAAAAAAAAAAATAAAAAAAATCCTATTTCCTTCTGAGAAGAGCCAGAAATAAGCACACTTTGCACGATCAAACCCTGGGCATGCTGTGCGGGTCGGAGGGAGTGGTGCCCACCCTAACGATTCAGTCTTATTTGATCCCTCATCTATTCCATGTTAATAGTGGGATATGAATTCCAAGCCCAGAATAATTAAGGGTCAAGTTGCAGGTCAAGCTGGTGACGCGGCTGCATGGTTGTACAGCTATTACAAATACTACACGCTCGTTAGCGCAACCAAAAAATGTTTTTTAAAAGGCTTGTTAGGATTTCTTTCCCAGAGACTTTATACAGAATGTCAATGTGGAATATAAAGTTTATAGTGATGGCTTTTGCTATTGGTAGTGGTGCTTTTTTATGTGTTTTTAACTTGGAACTGCTTAAAATACTCAGTAAAAAAATTACTCCATTTCCTTTCCTTTCCATATACAAAATTTCAAATGTGTTGTGTTTCCCCCCCCCCCCAGAAAAGACTAGGTGTTATGGCTTCACATTAGAAGGATTACTCACATGTGCAGAGAGAAACAGAGTCATGACCAGGTTTTCTTCAAGACATGATAAATTAGGATTTTATTTGGTTTTTACAAAACTTTTATGGACGTACTGTATTTCATACCAAGGATTGCTGTTTATTGAGGGCAAAATTATTACACATTCTGCTTAATTAGAAAACATGACTAAGTGATGTTTAATCACACGTTAAATAGATTGGATATTTTGAACTCCATTTTTTCCCACATAGGCCTTAAATAAATGTTTAAGAAAAAAGATAAAATATCTACTGTACAACTTTTTATTTTATATTGATTATATTTTCTAACTAGGACAACTTTTTAATTGGAAACCACTTAACCAGAAACTTGAATAAATTATCTGGTAAACACAATTCTACTGTGCTTATTCTGTCAGCATTATTTATCTTAGAAAAACAGAGATTTGTGCTTCGAAGTTGTACCGTTTACTGTAGCACAAAGTGTTAAATGTAACCGAGAAGAACGCTTTTTGGCAGCTATTCCATTTCATCAGACGTGCAGCAAAAACCAGACCTTCAGCAACATCTGAATTGTATTTCAAGCACTTACAACAAGAAGAAAAGTCAGTTAAGACATCATTTCTGCAAAGTCTCACAGCTTGTACATTTTCTTAATGGTCATTACTGCCACAATAGTTTTTTCTCATTTGTGACTATTCTGGGTGTACATTTAAAAAAGGAAATAAGACTTTTGTGCTTTTTTTAGCTGAAATTTCACTTTCCCTTCCCCAACCCTCCTCATGCTTGTCCTTCGCATAAAACTTGTTGCAATGAGAGCAAAACTACAGTTCGCCAGGGTTTTAGTAAAGTACTCCACCTCTAACTAAAAGAAAATAACCTCTCTGCAGAAACACGCTCAGCGGATGCGCATGAAGAAGAGCCACATCACTCCCCTTTGCGCCTGGCCTGCAGGGGGTTTTCCTGCCACAGGGGATTTTCCTCCCTTCGGATGACTCCAGAGCACCTTAGGCTTTAGCACTAGTTGTTCCTTCCCAAGGAGAACCAATCCGCATGATTACAGCAACCTGCTGCTCTTTCTTTTCTAAGTCAGTCTTCTTTAAACAATTGTGTATTGCTTATTTTAGCAGTAAGTGAACAAACACTGAGGGGGCAAGCATTTTAAAATTCATTTTCGGTATACCAGAATGCTCTACGCCTCTGTCAGTCATTCACTAGAAACATTTTCTTCCTCTTTTCTTGAGGGAGGATTAGGTCGCATCTTACCCAAA